CGTTCAGTCGTATGGTGTGTGAGCTGTGCAGCTGCGTGCATGGGGAGCGTTGTGGCGGTAGAGCCTGGGTTGTCCGTGAATTTACTTAGGTGCCTTGATGGTTGATTAACAGCAGATTTTATAGGCCAGTGTTAAAAAACCAAACCAAACTTAAAAAAATTTTGCTTCAAGGTACGTGGTAGAGTGGATACCTCATAGCCTCTGAATGTGTCTGAATTCAGAGAAAGCCAAAGATTCCCTCCTTGACGGCACGCGGCTGGGTATCTGCCGCGGCATTTCGCTGGGTGGGCAGACTACCTGCCCTGCAGAAAAGCATGTTACATGCAGTCGGGTGATGGAACACTGCGCAAGTGACCTGAGAGGCGCAGCTGTCTCGGTGAGGGGGAATTCTGCTGCTGCTTCCCTGGCAAACCTGCTCGGTGGGACGTGGCACAGCCACCCTTGCCCTGACTCTTCGCTGCCCGTGAGGTTTCCTGTAGTTGCGGTGCAGCTGAATTGGTTTGGTTCCTGCATGCCTTCCACATCGTGTTTTCAGATGAGGCGTTTTCCTCTGTCATGTTCCTCACAGTGGATTTTTATTGTCTTTGCAAATAAAAGGCATAACAAAGATGGCGCGCTGCTCTCCTGTCGGTGGTGTGGAACAGTCACGCTGCAGCTGCCAGTTTGCAGTTCCAGCACCAGGAACTGGCTGTCGGGAAGCATCATGAAGCTCTTCCACAGCAGCTGGGCTGCTCGGAGGCCTGCCCCGGGGAGCGCGCAGACGCAGGGCGGCGAGTGCCTGCTGGGCTGGCTAGGGTCCCCTCAGCCCTGCCCGCCACGCACGGAGATGAGCAGCCTGCAGCGCAGCGCTGCAGGCTTCTGTTCATTTTTTATTAACCGTAAGACTTAGTAGTGGTGGATTTAAGACTGCCCGGCTTCTTGGAGTATCATCACGGCTTCCTTTACAATAAATGTGACCATTGTAACGCTTTAACGTACCTCTTCAGCCTGCTCTCGTTGCAGCAGGCCTTGAAGATGTTCGGTGTTAAAGGCAGAGGGGAGTGCCGGTGCCTGCACACGCACCCCTGCATGATGGTGTTTCAGCTGCTTGAAGAGCACTGTAATATCAGCTGACTGGCATTACCAGAACAATTAGTAACTTAGCAAGTTTTCTAGCTCCTTAATAGGTCAGTGTAGAGTGTGTATTACTACCCCTGTAAATACATGTAGAGTCATTGTATAATACTAAATGTTAGCTGTTATTTGTGCTAACAGGCAGTAGGGTGGCAGGGAGAGCGCAGCCTGCCCGTCTCGGGGGGACGGAGGCCGAGCGTTTCGAAGGGGCAGCCAGCATCCAAACCACCAAGCGAGGCTTTCGCCGGGCTCTGGGTTCCGGCTGCCCTGCCTGGATGAAGCACACTAGAGGGGCCAGGGACAGGGCACTGGGGGTTGCTCTGTTCTGTTCTCCATTTCTCCCCCCCAGAGACAGACCCTCTGCTGCTGAGCTGTCGGCAGGAGGGCAAACGGCAAGCCCTGGCCGCGGGCCGTGGCGA